CTAAGGCACTTATTAGTTTGTTGGCAAATATACACTTTGCCAGTTTAACTTTTCTACTTGCTACTTTTCTGGATACAGGTACAAAGGTGTTGAGAGTCTTTTTCATGAAAGTACTAACAATAGCCTCATCTAACAAGAAATAAAGCAACACCTATTTTGTAAAGTGATGCCTCTGACTTAGAAAATGCCCCTAGGGGCAGGTCCCAGATGTTATTTTCCAAAACATAACACTTGAACCTTCATAGACATGCAATTCTGTAGTGTGTTGAGCTGTGGCACATCACGCATATACATCTTCCTCACTTGTCTTTAAATTTCCATGGAGACTTGTACCTTATCTTGTCTGTCTGTAACTATTTATGGTGTATACATTTAGGGTCTAGGTGCTCTATGTTCACTGTAAATGCAATGCTTTAATATTAGGATATTAAATGTCTGTCATTTGAAACCCGCTAACCCTTTAGCAATCTCACTTTGTAATTAAATCACTTACCATTTATTTTTAACACTAGCCTTCAGCACTCAGAAAAATATAAGACAAATAAAAGTTTATCAAAGAAAAACAAATAAATATTATTCAATTATTTCCCACTGAATGATGTTTTAAAGAATTCCTATTTATAAATTATGATTGGAAGTAATGAATATACACCATCGTTTTATGCTCTCTGTGATGGTAAAATGCTTTGAGTGAAACCATTCATCACGTGTCTTGTGGTTGAGTTCATGAACAGACACATCAGCTGTTGTAGACAGGTTTGTCAACTGTTTCTGATTACCTGGTTTATTAAAACAAGTAGGAAGACACTCATCTGTGTGTATTCACATGCATTTACAATTTCCATCATTTCTACTTTTAAGAGATTACCACTGAAAAACAGCCAGAGAGCCACAAAACAAGATGCTGACTATCATAGCTTACAATACGCAATGTCCTGTGATGGGCTCATGAGGTAATAAAAGTAACAGTAAAAGAAAATTAAGAGCAAAACAAGGAGAAAACACAAACTGACTACTACTATGCATCAGTCATTTAATTACCAATCATACATTTTTCACATAAACTGATTAATTCACCAAACCCTCAAAGTTTGAATTACTGGACATAAATTATAAAGGCATGTGAATAGTGACAAATGGGACAAAGCAGTTACTTCTGAACTCAAAGATAACCCTTGTATGCTTTCATTTACAGCCAGACATGAGGCAAAGCATACGCCATAGTAGGAGTACTGACTTATAATGTAATATACAGTGTGCTGCTTTGCTTCATTTGCTATCATTTATTTTCATTCCCTTCAATTAAAATAGCCAAACTTTTTAAAACATAAGTAAACGAGACTGATTCCTCTTTGTCTGTCTGTAATTGTAAAGGCTACCATTAAACTATCCGTGGAAATGGGCTTCATTAATGTTGGTGTATGCACATATAGACACAGACAGTTGTGCTTGTACATGCTTGTACATGAGACAGAAACATACACACACAAGTATGCACATGCACATACACACAGATGTAAGTACAGTACCTCCTTACTAAAACTCTCCCTGGCTGCATTAATCATTTGCCAATGAAAACCCATTATATGGTAGCCAATCATCATTGCTCTTAGTGAGACAGAGCTCCATGCAAAATATGAGAAGCATCAATCATACAGGGAATACCTATTCACGTGTGAAATTTTTAATATACATTTAATATGCCTTAATGGGCTAATATATAATGTATGCTCTATGTTCCAGTGTCTTGGCCACTGCTATGACAACCATACCTCAAAGTCATCTTCATTTTAAAATTTCTTTAATTTCATCACTGTATAAAAGAGGATAACCTCCTTTTGCCTCACATACACCCAGTCACATACAATGGATACCAGAGTAAGACTAACAGAATATGGCTCCTTCCAAAAGACAGAAGGATCCATCTTTAGTAATTGTGTCTGCCATACTCCTACATTAGAGACACACACACACAAACAGATGTGATGTCATGGGTCATTAAAGCATGGTTTGTTTGTATGTTGGCAGCTCTGCAAGGAGGGGACATTAATGAGAATGGAACCAAATTGTTGATGAGGGGGCTATAATGAGTGTCACACCAGTGGAAAGCAAGGGCAGGTTTTTTGTTAGGTTCTGCACCCCAACAGAACCAGGCCACTTCCCCAAAGAATGGACAGATAGATAAAAATGAACGTGACAAATTTAGTGTATGAAATTTATAAGCCACATCTATGGACTTCTGGCTATATTCTTACTGTATTGCTGTAAAACCTGAAAAATGTGCATACAGTATCCAGTGTACACACTGTCCACTGAGATTGCATTCATCCACTCTAGATAATATGAAGCATTCACAATGTAACAATCATGCTGCAGGATATGCCTTGCACAAAACCTCTATGTTGCATCACACAGCACATACTAATGTTACTTCTACTCTGTGCTTTCTACTTGGTATTAGGGCAGAGTGAGGGACAACGAATCTCAAATGTCACAACTAAACGGCAGAAACAGAGGCATGGTGGTTTTGGTTAAGACTTTAACAACACAAACTACTGGTAGCTCAGGAAACTGGTAAGATGGCATGCGCAATCACACATAAGATGACACAGGTAAGTAATAATGGCAGGTTCTGAGGCAGGCAACAGAAGCACATGTAAGTGTACTGGTATGGCGGATGGCAAAGGTAAGTATAATAATGCAGATAAGGCAAAAAAAAAAAAAAAAAATTTCATAGAACAAGTCTGTATGCAGGCATTCCAGAAAGGGAATAAACAAGGTCCAAGGGGGAAGCAAGTGTCCATATGCAGGTGCTAGAAGATGAACAAGAGGTAGACAAATGACCACATCCAGGAATCAAAGTGTCCATGCACTGGAGGAGTAGGAAATGTACGCTGGGAGCAGGGTGAGTCAAAGGCAAAACAGGTTGTTAACAAAACTGCAATACAAATACAAGCACTGGAAAGTCACAAGAGGTGTATCTACAGTATGTAGACTGTGTGGCAGGGAATGCCTTCCTCTTTTGATAGGCAGACTGGATGCAGAGTTGAAATATTGCTGCCACTGAAATGTCATTAAAAACCTTTTTGTCTACATGCATCAGAACACACCAATAGTAAGTAAGCTTTGGTCTGCTTTTTGTTCAAGTCACAGACACAAGGGATGAGAGAAAACACTCATAGCTGTCCTGAGGCGTATTAAGCAGACAAAGCAGCTTTAGTATTTTGCACTAGAGCCTTCTGAGGTACATGCCTCATGGTGGCCATGTAGTGTTGTGTCATTTGACGAGTCTGAATTGATGCTAATAGTATACACCACCCAGACGAAGTCAAAGTACAGTAAACTGAGGGTTTCTGGAGAGCTGATGTGGGTAGGACAGTGCTGTATGGTGACGTGTCATTGTTAGGCATCAGCACGTTTCATCTTCAAGCTGCTGACAAGGCTGGTGCAGGTGCACATATAAACAAGTCCTCCAACAGGTTTAGGAGCAAACTTGATTAGGTGTAGAAAAAGATTGTGGTTTAAATTAAAATAACCCTTGTTGTCATGGTTACCTTAATAAGCATGGGGAACGGCGTGCATATAAAAACCACAAAGTGTCAGACAGAAATAAAAACACCTCTTGCCTCTGGGAAAGTCATGCGTTTTCTGACCCATATCACATCCTTTGGATTGAGTCATGATTATTACAGTAATAATTCAGAGCTATTCCTTTTGGTTGTATGAATTTAGATCATTAGGATAAAGGTTCATTAGTCATTTAACTTGTATGATTTTGTGTAAACTTATACTCAGAATAAGGAATGTTTCATTTATCCAAGTATGTCATATGCATTAGGAATGTAGTGCAGCTAATCCATGGCGACTTGACAGAAATACAGTACACACTGCCCGACTGACACATTGTTGGTAGATTCAGGACAAAGTGAACAGAACAGGCTCATAAGTCGTGTTAAAAGAGAGACAGTAGAACTGCAGAATCTGTGTGCGTTGTCCAACTGATCCAAAGTCCCACAGAGAGCAATGTGCCAACACTGATTAGAGGAGGAGACAGAAAGAGAAACAGCAATGATTGAACTGCCTCTCAGTGTGTGTGTGTGTGTGTGTGTTTCTGCATTGTCTGATACTTGATGTTTACCTTAGAAACAACCAAAGCTAAAAATAGAAGAGAATAAAAGGAAGAGAGGATAAGTTTTTACATGGAAACTCTGAGTCCAGATGCCTGCATACGTAAAACAAACACATTTGATTTACCACAGAAGAGGGAAAAACATAATGAAGCAACAGTTTGGGAGTATGGGCACCGGGGTCGTTGGTATGAGCCACCTGTTCCTTGTATATCTGGAGTAAGAGCTGTGTACGCATACTCAGCAAGAAGTCAAACACCTTCCCAGTTTAGTGTTGGTCTCGTCACCAATCTTGTTTGTGATTTTCATAGACAGGATCTCAAGGCGCAGCTGAGGGGAGAAGAGTGTCCAGTTTGGGGACCTCCGAATTGCATCTGTTCTAGTTGCCGATGATGTGGTTTTGCTGGCTTCATCAGATTGCAACCTCCAGTAGCCACTGGAGTGGTTTGCAGCTGAGTGTTAGGGTCAGGAGAGTTAGGATCAAGTCTGAGGCCATGGTCCTCTGCCAGAAAATGGTGGACTGCTCCTTCTGGGTTGAGAGCGAGTTGCTGCCCCAAGTGAAGGAGTTTAAGTATCTCGGGGTCTTATTCACAAGTGAGGGTAAAACTAAGTGTGAGATTGACAGGCGGACAGGGCAGCATCAGCAGTAATGCAGACCTTGTACCAGGCCGTTGTGGTGAAGAAGGATGGTTAGGGCTAAGGGCTAGGGGCACGCCTGTTCAGAGTTTGTGGCCCAACTAAATTTTCATTCTGGGTGCTGATGTGGTTACAATGGAGTTCAAGCTGCTCATTGCTCAAAGTACAAATAGCTGCCAAAATTAGCATCATCAGCTCTAAAGTACAATACATATGAATTTATAACGGAGCACTTACTATCTCCCTGGCAGCGGAGAGGTCCAACGGTCAGCTTGGCCAAAGAGCCCGGTCTGCTGGTGTCACCGACGGCAACCTGACTGACTGGCAGGTGTTCCTTATAAACCAAGAGACCAGAATCGTCTCTCCTGTAAGATGGATTGAAAGAAACAAGCACACAGAGGTTAATGGTGGAATCCAATTAAACATTGTTTGTTTGTCCATTTTTTAAATCTGGACTTGTACTTTTACTGTATAGATTTTGCATGTTTGTGATTTTGCTAACTCTGCTTAACATACTGAACTTGTATACTGTATATGTGATAATATGAATTTATTGCATGTTATTCTAAGCACACTTATCTCTAGTAGTAATTTTTGGCACTGGAATTTCATGTATCAGCTGTTAGGACATTTGTAGTATAATAAATAACTAAATACAGCTCTTGAATTCTTGTGTGTGCACGTCTATATTTTTATGTATGACATATGTGTTACAGTGATTCAAAATGTATTCAGACCTCCTCACTTTTAGCATGTTACTGTGTTGCCATTTAATTTTAAATGGACAATTTTTTGCCCATCTTTCTACACCCAGTAACCAATCAAAAGCTGAAATTTGTCACTCACTAGTATTCAAACCATTTTATATGACTCTCCCCATTATGTTCAAGTGCATCATTAATTTTGTTTTCGATGTGTCTATAACTTGACTGGAGCCCACTTGTTACAAATTGAACGGTGTGGACACAGCTTAAAAGGCACACACCCAAAAGGTCATACATTTCACACTGCATATCAGGACAAAAGCAATGAAGTCCTGGTGGTATACAGATTTCATGGAAATATAACCAAAGGCCATGTTTTACTTTTTCTAATGTTAGGCTCATTCTAAGAAAAGTAATTAAGTTTCAAGTTGACAAAAGATCATTTAGGGCCTTTTCTCTGGTGTTAAACATAAAGACGGGTCATTTTGGATCCTTAAGACCAACACAAGAGTTTATGCATATAATAATAATGATGAGAACAAGACAAAGTAAAACTGAATTAGCTTTAGAGATGAGAAGGGAGATATGAAAGCAAATGAAATCTCTTCATCTTGCTAACACACAGGAGCATGTAATTCCACCTGTACTGTTTACATGCTCAGTTTGCACATGCATAATTGCACATTCACTGTATTCACATTCCCATGTAGCATACATTCTCTTATTATAATCTTATATATTTTTATTATATCTCCTTCATTTGCTGCTTTAAAGTGCTTTAGATTTTGTGTTACTTATTTATCTACTTTATATTTCACTTGTATTATGTGGCATTCATGTGGACGGCAAAGTAAGAATTTCATTGTACAGGGAAACATGTTTCCTAACTGTGCATATGACAAATAAACTTTGACTTGACTTTGACTTAATTACAGACCAGCATACATCATTCACACACATTCACATGACCACAGAAAATAAAGCACCAGAACTATACTAATTTAAACCATCACAACAAAATCCAACCAAATTCATATAACAAAGTAGAAACCAAGGGACTACCTGGTTTCTAGCAAATGTGTGTCCCTCTGATTATGAGGCAAAGGCCGCTGTAAATAAATAGGTCTTAAGGAGTGTTTTAAAAGCTCCCAAATCTGATGCTGATCTAATATTTATAGGTAAGTTATTCCAGAGCTTAGGGGCTGCCACTACTGGGTCGACCGAGCATCTGGACCTGGGGACTTCCAGGAAAAGCTGGTTTGAGGATCTTAATGACCTTACTGGATTACGGTGGTGCTAGACCATTCAAAGCTTTAAAAACATACAACAGTATTTTAAAATCAGTCCTATAATGCTCTAGGAGTCAATGTAAAGAAGAAATGATTAGATTTATATGATCCCATTTACATGTGCCTGTTATAAGACCAGCTGCTGCATCCTGAAGACATAATCCAGAGGCTTGATTAACAGAAATATAGCGGGTGTTACAATAATCTAACCTTGAACTAATAAAAGTATGGATTGCTTTTTCAGTATCTAAAATAGAAGAAAGGGCTTCAGATAAAATTCTTAATTGATGCTTTAGCCACTGAGCTGATCTGCTTCTCACAGTTAAGCATGCCATCAAAAATGTCCCCAGACATTTTTGCAGAAGGGTTTAGATGGGGGCCAGAAATCCATGATCCAATTCAGTGGTGTAAGTGAAACATGATCTTTGAAACAGCACACATTCTGTTTTGCCCTCATTCAGCTGTAAAAATAAAAATAAAAATAAAAAAGTAGATGTGCTGATTCAGCTCTATGAATGTTCTCCTCTGTGAGTGGACTTGGTGTGACTGTGAAATGCTTTTACTGTTTCTGCAGACCCTAAGTAAAGTCAGTACCAATACATATTATTTGTTCTCCTGTTGAATGTTCATGTGGCAGCTGGACTTACCATTGAGGAAGGTCGGCGTCACAGTTGCAGTCATACTTGGGGTCAGTGCAATTCCTGTCAATGCCACAAGCACACTTCTGGATGCCAGGCCCCGAGCCCCCCCAGTAGAAGTGCTTCTCGCTGCCTCGGCCCACCCACCACGTGTAGGGGGTCCCATCTGGGGAACAAACACAGACAGACAAACAAAAGACCTGTAAGTTCCTTCCAAAAAAGAGTAGAGTCATCATCCCCACTGGTTTCTGTCTGATAATGCTTATTGTTTCCCCTCACAGAAAAGAGACAAAACCAGAAACTTTGGTGAAGGCAGTAAAGTTGAGCTGCTAAACTGTCCAAAGCCCTTCTCATTACAAGTGATTTACTGTCAAATCATTAACTCTTTAAGGCTTTTGTCACATTAGTGTGATTTACTGTAAATTGACAGCTGGAGGCTGCATGGGGAATGTAATTCATTTGCTCAACATGCTTTACACAGGTGGATGGTAAATGCCTTTGAGACTGAGAGGCACACTTAGTCACTGATCACACCTGTGATTTTAGAGGTCTACTAAAACAGGCTCAGGGCTGCATTTACATTTATCTTGCCATTATTATGTAACAGTGTGTATACACTGTTAATGTTTGTGTGAATGTATATGTAGGCACTTCTCAGCACATCTTTTCACACACAAAAACTTCTTTGTATACCTATTTGTGTGCAGTATGTGTGTGTTTTAATGAATGGATAAAAGGTGAAGCATCACTGCTTTTCAATAAAAAATATAATATTGTTTTCTTTGCCTTTGATAATGTATTCTGGCATGAGACAGTAACTAGGCAGTGAGATAGGTGTAAATATTTTGCTGGCTGGCAATATATCACAATAACAGCAAGAGCGAATGAAACAATATTACGTTTCCCTCTTTATTCCAGGAAAATAAGCTGCATTGTCAATATCGCTTTGTCAAATTCCATCACAGACAATGAAATCTCCAGAGCCACATTTTTTTCCAGAAGAGGACTGAAGCAGACTTTTGATGGAGCACAGTTCCACTGAGACGTGTGATAATACTTTATTATTATACTTCTGATCTTTTGAACGAACTCTGGGGCTAAACTTCAAGACAAAGCTGTGTGTGTGTGTGTGATGTGTTCATGTATACATTTTTGGTATGTTTGGCTTTGGTGACCTGTGAGTTTATTGTCCTCATAATGAGAATGAGCCTCATCTCTCTTCAGGCCACTGTTCAGACAAGCTATTGTCAATAGGATTAACACAGTCTCCTCAAAGGCTTCATAGATATTTCCCTTTCTGTGTACATGTGTGTGTTTGTATTTCTATACAAGTGAGAACCAAATTTGAGTTTATGACTTTCACTGTTAATTCAAAGAGGTCCCTGACCACAGTCAACTTAGCCAAGCCTCGAGCCTGCTGAAACGTAATCCATCTTGTTCCCTACCCAACTGGGGTTATGTCATCATCCTTTAAGCTGACCTGAGGCCACTTTGGAAATGTCCTATAAACGGTAAATGGCAACTGGGTGCAGTCATGTTTCTTCTAGGTTTAGTATAAGGGAAAATTAAGTTTTTAGAGAAAAATGATTACTACCTGAGCAAATCAGCTCCCCAAAATTTGTAAACATGTTCCTAGATTAAATATCTCCAAACTCAAAATCCTATTTCTACAGCAAACAAAACATGCTATAGAACAGAAGTCACCTTCTCTTACTTTTTAAACCCATTATGTCCAGTGGCACTTTTCCAGGTTTTTCATACAGGGGGGGAGCAAGTACAATAACACAATTTTAATATTAAAAAAAAAATCCACTTAATTGTTTTCAAAACATGTTTTTCAGAACAGGTAATCAAAGAAGACAGATGGGAGGAAAGGGGAGAAGAGGAAAGGAGAGAAGTGTTGTAGGAGTAACAGCAGGGCATCAGGTGGAATGAGATCTATTGAATGTGCCAGTTGAAGTCTCCTGTGTGATCCAGTTTAACTTCTGCCAAAACATACAAATAAGGAGTGGAGAGAGTGAGGAAGAGGGTTGAGAGCATGGGTGGATGGAGATGTGAGGCAGGAGAGATAGAATCATACTGGCAGAGAGGTCTTATGGAGGTGGCACTGCCAAGATGAGGCTCCAGAGCACGGCTGTGTGTGTGTGTGTGTGTGTGTGTGTGAGTGCATGTCTATGTGTCTGAGAAGGAACAGAGTGTGTATGTGCTTGTGTGGACAAGTCCTATGTTTAAAAAGCAGGTGCACAGTAAATATCAGCAGTCCCACTGAAGAAAATTCAGCTTTAAGAGAAATAGTTTTAAGTGTGCATTACGCAGGAAAAATACAGGAGCATATTATTATAGGATACAGTATATTAATGATAAATAATATCCAAAATTATGTAAATAAGACTCAAGTTTTAAAAGGCCAGAAGTATCCTTTAAACATCGAAGGATTAATAGACACTCCAAACTAAATTTTCTTCTTTGTATCCTCTATATAATGCTGCTATTTATGTCCATCCAGTCCCATTCATTTCTGTCTCATGGCCAAATTACATATTACTCCCCAAGCAATGACAGATAGATCAGTAGAGAGAATGATAAAGACACAAAGAAGAGAGAGAGCACAAGAGAGAATGGGAGGCTGTGGAATAAGAAGAGCTTTTTTCAGCAAAAAGGGCGGTAATAAAAAAAGATGGAGAGACAGAGCGTGATTGCTAAGAGACTTGACGGGTTCATCCTTCTCTCAGGCAAATAGATCGAAAAGGACACTGTGAATACTCATATTAATGTCAGAAAGCCTTTCACTTTGCAGGAGGGTTATTCATCCAAAGGTCATCCATAGTTTTCACATTAGGCCTAAACTGAGCCAAGCCTTAATATTCTAAACTATGTCCAGGTATTTTAAAAACAAGTATTAGCATTAAAACATGTTTAAAATATCAAAAGTACTCATTATGCAGAATGACACATATAACATTAATGTATATCACAGTAATGGATTTTAATTATTTGTGTTGTTGCATATAATGTTGCAGCTGCTAAAAGTAAAGCTAATTTTAATCTTATATGCTTATACAGTAATATAGAATATTGCTGGGTAGTTAATGAATTTTACACAGAGGATTAATAAAGTCTCATGATTATGCTGTATTTTGTTTTATTAATCTGATTCTGAAAGGTAACTAGTAACTAAAGTTATCAAATAAATGTAATGAGTACAAAGTACAACATTTTTTTCTCTGAAATGTAGTAAAGTCAAAGTATGACATAACAGAAAATGAAAATACTCAAGTACAGATACCTCAAAATTGTATTTACATACAGTAGTTGAGTAAATGTACTTTTATAGTTACTTTCCACTGCTGCTTTTTGAGTAGACTTTTGTAATTCAAAATGAGAGTTCATTCCAATGTTTGGATCCTTTCTATATATGATACTAATTTTCAGCTCCTCTGAAAATTAAAATATAATTTGATTAGCAATATACAGAAAGTACACAGGCAGTGTTTTGCAGCTAGTACTCCATATGATCATGATTTTAGAAGAACCACTTTCATTTGTGTGTGCACTGTTGGTGCACAATACTGTTTTTGAGAAATTAAACATTACATTTTTGGGTTTAGGCTTCAGCACCCCATTGACATTCGAATGACTCCTAAGGGGTTGTCTCATTTGTCTACATATCTTTTGTGTACAAATGTTCAAACATGCTGTATTAATTCTCATGTTATCAGCATTGCACAATATAAAAATAAATTGTGATAAGCACCAATACAAGAGCCACACTTAGCTCATATCAAAAGATCACACCCCTGCTAGAGTGGGAACTGAAAGGTCAGTGGATGCAAAATGGCACCCGACATGCTCAGTCGCTCATATCCCCAGTCTGGGAGATGATGGCTTTTAAGAAGGCGGTCAGCTGGAGCCGAAATGCCAGAATGGCATTTATAATCCTTAGATCTGGCTTTCTCATGAACCTGTCCTGGTCATCACCTTATAGTTTGCACCTCTTATAGATTTATTACACCAAAAATAGTGATCGTTATTGAGTCCTATTTACACTCCATTCCTTTTCTCATACAGCTGAGTGACAGATGTCTGTCATAGGGCAAATAGTACAGTAGATGCAAACATGGATGGTGCACAAATGCACTAAGGCTATAACAGTTTATTTGCTCTGATCTCTAAGTGAATCAATACTCTTCTTCTCTTTCTTCTAACAAGAGCAGCTAATCTATTATTTAGAAAAAAAAAATAAAGGGCAAGAATAAGTCCTATGCCTGCTGCCAACCCCCCATCTTTTCTGAAAAAGACAAGGTGCCTCCATCAGGAGACACAACAAAAATGTGTACACACACATTCCCACACACTTCTACCCCTGCCGTCTCTCTCTCAAGGGCTCTGGAAAAAGCCCAGTACACTCACACACACACATTTCCAGTCGTGGAGAGTTTTTACACAATGTCATGAATCAGTTTATTTTTGTCATGGTACTGTTGGTTTCTGTTCTTTGTTGTGGTCGATTGTTTGCATTTTTGTATGTGCAGGCAGCCCGGTGTCTTGACTCTGCACCCGCTGGTCTTTGTTAGCCCCCTATCCCCTTAACATCTCTGTTTTTGTACGGAGACTGTAGGGAGGCATATTAGCCGAGGCTCTCTCCCGAGAGCTAGAGATAATGCACTGTGTGTATGTGTGTGTGGATATGAGAAAAAGAGCCAGACTATTTGTGTGCCTCCCTCTTTGTTTCCGTCCTTTTGTTTATCTATATGACTGTATGTGTGTCTCTGTATTCTCTTCTCTGCTCCATTTAGTCCATCTCTGAGACTTTGCCTGGCTCCCTTGTCTTTTTCTATTGTTTCAATCTTTCCCCTCTCATGGACCACCTATCCATCAATTTACTTCAAGAATCCTCCTACCTCCCACCCCTACCACCATTGCCCCCATCTCTATAGCTCCCACGTATTTAGCACTCTCTCTGCTTCATGCTTTGGACCTTTTCCTTGCTGTCTCATATCGCCTGGTCTCAGAGGCCTCTTTCTCTTTATCTCTCTTCCTATTATGCCTTTCAACCTTCTCTCCTGGATCTCTTGCTCTACCATGTTACTCTTTTCCCCTCCATCTCTCTCATATCTTTCTTGCACACCTTTTCACCGCATGCTCATATCAGTTGGTCTCAGTGGC